AGCAGCCTGCAAGTCCACTGGATGTCCTAGGTGGGTGTCGGGACCCAAGGACTTCAGCCCAAAGAACACTAATGAGATGCCGGCATCGCAGTGGGGGCTTAAGCTGCCATGCCAGGACACTGACCCCTGTACCATTTAACTTCAATGAGAACTTCCTGCCTGTTCATATTTTCGACCTAGGCATGTCAACTTTACTGAAGGCATCTCCTGATGGGCTCAGGGATCTGTTTTGAGGTGTTTTTTTGTTTTCAGTTTTTATTATTTGAAAAAAAATGTCACAATTAGCAATACTGAAAATACACACCTCCCCAAATCATTTTAGGAAGTTTTCGAACAATTCCCACCCTGATGCAGTGCCAGACTGGGCATGTCTCAGATGCTGACTTGGGAAGGAGGAGTTCTGGTGACATGGAAAGATGGTTTCTGTGTGGGGCTGCTTCCCTCCCGCCTCCACTCATAGTCAGATGAAAAGACCTTGACCATCTATCCTTTGCTTTCTTCTACAATTCAATCAGATCCACTAAAAATTTAAAACAATTATCTGTCCTGTGCTACCCGGAAGAGATGATCCAGTGCTAGGAGTTCCTCTTTAGCTGGGAGGTCTGCAACTGAGGCCATTGCCTTTTTTCTTTTTCAAGTCATGAGTGTATCTGTTTAGAGGGAGGAGGGGCAGAGATGGGGGGATAGAAACTTCCCATCCTCTCCCGAGGCTTGGTCAGGCAGGAGCCATGCTCCAGGAATTAGACCCAGTCCCTCAACTGGGAGGCAGGAGCCAAGCATTTGAGTCATCACTAGGAACTTGACACTGGATCACATCCTGATGTGGGATGCGGGCATCCCAAACTGTGGCTCAACTCGCTATGCCAGCATGCTTACTGTACCACAATGCTCACCCTACTGTTTCTATATCAACTAAGAATTTCTTTTGCAGATGAGCTTTTGTGATTAACCTTTTAAAAAAAGTTTTATTTATTTTTATTGGAATCTCAAATATACAGAGAGGAAGAGAGACAGAGAAAAAGATCTTCCGTCCACTGATTCACTCCCCAAGTGGCTGCAATAGCTGGAGCTGAGCCGATCTGAAGCCAGGAGCTTCTTATGGGTCTCCCGCGTGGGTGCAGGGTCCCAAGGCTTTGGGCCGTCCTCTGCTGCTTTTCCAGGCCACAAGCAGGAAGCTGAATGGGAAGCAGGACTGCCGGGATTAGAACCAGTGCCCATATGGGATCCCAGCACTTGCAGGGTAAGGACTTTAGCTGCTAGGCTAATGTGCTAGGCCCTGTGATTAATTTCTTAAAAGTTTATTTACTTGAAAGTTGATTGGTAGAGGGGAAATTGATTTATTCTCCTGCTTCTCCCTCCAGATGCCAGCAATAGCCAGAGCTGGGTCAGGGGCCAGGAGTTACTTCAGCATGGGTTTTCTGCATGGATGGCAGAGGCCCGATACTTGAGGTTTCCTAACCATTGTGCCAAATGCTTATTGGGACCAATTTGATGAAACACCAGATTTGAGTAATAATTAATGAAATTTTATTTTTCCTTCCTCTCCTATTCATTTCTGGGACCTGCATTGTAAAACTGTGATGCTCAACTGTTATTTTGAATTTTATGAAGAAAAGAATCTTGCTTTATATGAAAGTGCTGTACCACAGCATTGATTCTGCTCTCTTGACCCATAAAACCTAAAGCATTTTACTCTCTGTCTCTTTCCAGAAAAAGTTTGCCCCAGTCTAGACTCCAGAGAGATGTTGGAAATAATATGGAAAAGAAAAGTACTGTCGGAAGATATAATAGCCCCAAGCTACAATTAGCTTTCAAAAATAACGCTGCCTGGAAATGAGGGGAATTTCAATCAAATTAACCAGGTCATAAAATGTTCTCAATCTAGTGTGACGATCTCAGTTGAGGAAGGAAGAACTTAGTGCCATTGGTAATAGAAAGTGAAAATGAATGGAAAAATAGAAGGGAAGGCGAAGCGAATGGGGAAGTGCTTGGCAGAGGATGAAGCTGGGTACGAACAGCGGGGAGCACTGGCCGTGTGTGTGTGTGTGTGTGTGTGTGTGTGTGTGTGTGTGTGTGAGCTCCGGGCGCAATCTCCCCAGAACTTCCACAGTCGACCTCTGCCCTGATACAGCTCCAGTCGGTCAGCACTAAGACAAGAAAAAGAAGTTTGATATTAAGGGGTTAAGGGTCTTGAATGCTCTTGTAGGAAGGACTCTTTATTCTGGTTTTGGAAACCAGGCTGTTTTCTGAGCCAGGAGATCCTGAAGGATTTTTCAGAGGCAGTATGATGTGGTCAGTTCTGTGTTTCATGATAGTGAGGGTGGTCTTGGGAGATAACTCTTGAGGCCAACAGGCTGGACAGAAACTTCTTCCACAGTCCCAGGAGGCAGGGGTGCGTGAGGTCTGCCCTGGACTGGAGGAAAAGCAAATTCTAGAGACTTCGCCTGTGCCAGCTGACCATGCAGACAGAGTGGACCTGTGGGCAGGGAGGTGGGATGGAGATAAAGGCCCTTTCTAAGTTTCTGGTGGCAAAATGAGTACAGATGGGAAACATGTTTCCGGGAGCATAACAAGCAGAGTGGCGGAGGGGCTGGGAGACTCAGAGCCCTGGCTGGGCTCAGAGAGACCCCAGGAGCACTTAACCCAGGTTCTTCCTGTGGGGAAGAAGGCAATTGACACAGAGGGCTACAGAAGGACAGAATTGATTAAAGTACAGTACTCAGACGGGAGCCTGTGCGACCTCAAGAGAGAGAGCTGTCACTCATCCTTTGGGGGTGGTACTAAGGGCAGGTGGTGGGGGTGGTGCTAAGGGCAGGGCCTCACAGAAGTTCCAAAGGAGATAGCAATTCGGGATGTGGGTTCCTGGAGGCTGTCAGTGGTGCTGTCTGAGGAGTGGGTGTGTTGAGTGCTGGGCCTGGTAAATGGGCATGGACGCTGGCGGGCCTCAGGGTTGTACCCTTCCTCGAGTGCACGATCCTCCCTGGCACGTGGTTTTCCCCAATGCCATAGTCCTTGGGTACAGTACATCCCCACAGCATGTTTAAACTGCTCTCTGTCATTCAATGACTGTTCTAAAACAGTTATCTAAAATGATGACAAGAAAGTCTGCAGATGGTCAATATGGACAGGTTTTTCTGGACAGGGGTGGGGGCTGTGAATGCAAAGCCCGTTGGCTACAATTCCTGGAGAAGCCCCAGGGTGGCTTGCCTAGAGGACAACTGAAGGGCGAGAGTCTGGGGCTGGTTGTGCAGGCAGAAGAAAAGACGAGCATAAAGGAACACTGCTGGGGGAACTCTTACCCCAGGTGAAGGGAGGGACGAGTGTAGCCAGGTGGGCAAGACCCCGGGCGGTATTATCACAAGAAAAGTTTCCGGGAGGCAGAATACAAGGAATGTCAATGGACCACCTAGAAAGAAAAGGACTGTAAGCCGGCAGTTGCATGCGGTATGGACTTGGTGGGGAAGGACTGAGAAGGGCAGTCCTGATTTGGCTTGGGGAGGACTGAAAGGGGGTAGGGGAAAAGTTGGAAGGCTGGGGACTCAGGGACTTGGGAAGACTCTGGAGGGAGAGGGAGACACAAGTGCTGTGTCAGCTGGTGAGACACAGAGGGGACCAGATAGATGCAGAAGCTCAAAGGGTGCTGGCCTTGGGACGACCCTTCCGTTCCACGTCAGATTCCTTGCTGGGCAGGACGCTGAGCCCTTGGCTCAGCCCTTGTAAAAAGTCGTTGGGCAGTGCTTGTCTCCCTGCCTCCCACCTTGGGCAGAGGATGTTGCTGCCGCCTCACACCCTCCTCCATCCCCATCTTCACGGAGGACCAAACAAACCTGGCCAGTCTTCTACTGCCTAACAACAAATTTGACAAGCCAGGGTCGGGCATTTGGAAAAGACACAGTCGCTGGGGAACTGAATGGAATGACACAAGACTTCCAGACAGTCTGTGTGCTCACCTTATAAAAGTCCCCACGGCTGTCGCTCACTCCCTCTCCCCCCCAGTCCCTAAAATTACAGCGACAACGCCAGGGTCCGGATGACAAAGTCTGCCCCTTGCCGGTGAGCTCAGACGTGGGCCGACATTGTTTGCGTCCCTGTGTTTGCTCTGGGCACTACTGAGTTCTGTTCAGTTAGGAAAGCAACCATGACAGTGCTTAAGGATGACAGGTTCTACAAGTGTTCATCTCCAGAATTTGGGGTGAGGGTGGGCACGTATTCAGTTTTAGTAGTGGTTTCTCAAGTGTGGTTCCCAGCAGCCTCACCCGAGAACGCGTTAGGAATGCTCACTGCAGAGGGCATCCACGTGCGACTTCATGGGGCGCCCAAGGTGAGGCTGCTTGGAGCTAGACTGAGGTTTATCCAAGGCCCTCGTGGGGAGGCAACGTAGGGGGCGCCTGCACCCAGACCCCCTGCATCAAAGCCCTCCCTGACAGGGTCCCTGGAGGAGTCCAGGCTAGGAGCTCCGGTCCCTACCCGTCCGCATAGGGTCTTTTCTCCAGTGAGTTACAAAATCTGACGCTCCGGCTGGCGAAGCAGCGAAATTGTTTTATCACATACAACCACTCGAGCCCAGAGCAAAAACTGCTTGGCGTTGGAGCGGAGAAGCGCGCCAGGGCCCGCAGCCCGGCGGGGGATCCGCAGGGCGGAGTTGCAGCGGGGGGCGAGCGCGCCACCTGCCAGGTGGGTGCCCGGGAGCAGGTGCGACAGGGCAGGGTCCAGGAGGGGACGCGCTTGCTGCGCCGCGGAGGGACGCGCGCGCCCGGGGCAGGGGCGGCGGCGTGGCGCGGGGCCCGGGATGCGCCCCGGAGCGCCCGCGGGTGCCAGGGGGCAGCCCCTCCCTTAGGGCAGGCCGGAGGGCCGGGGTCGGGGGCGGGGAGGGAGGTGGGCCCCGGGCCGGCGCGGGGGCGGGCGGCCGCGCTGCTCCCCGCCCCCGGCCCGCCCCTCCGCGGCGCCATTTTGCAGGCGGCTGTCGCGGGGACCGGAGGCGGCGGCGGCGGCGGCGGCGGCGGCGGCGGCAGCGGGCAGTGCAGCTCCCAGGCGAGGCAGCAGGACGGGAGCCCGAGCGAGCTGCAGCCAGGTGAGAGCCGGGCCGCCCGCGCTCCGCGCCCGCCCGTGGGCCGCACCTGCCGGCCGCGGCCGCGAGCTGTCCGCCGTGCCCACGAGGCCGGCCTGGCACGGCCCCCCGCGCGCTGTCACCCGCCCCACGGCCGCGGCCTGCGCCCCCAGCCCCCACACGAGCCCGCTCCTCCTGATGCCCCGGCGGCCTCCAGCCCCTGCCGCCCCGCGGGGTCCGGCCGGGGGCCTCCCGGGACGCTCACCTCGGAGCTGCAAGCCGCCGGGGCCCTCAGGCCGTGCCGCAGGGAAGCGAGTGGGGCTTCCCCCGGGGACTGGGCTGGCCGTCGCCGCCTCCCGGGCTCTGTTCCTGCGGGTGCTGGGGCACTCCCTTGGCCGCTCCCCGGGAGGTGCGCGCGGGCATCTCTGCCGTGGGGACTCAGGGCCGTGGAGAGGGCGACGGGGATGGGGGGGGGGATGCCTTTAAGGTTTTGGCTTTCTTCCTTTCTACAAAGACTCGCCAAGTGATTTTAGAATCGGCCTCTCCAACCCTTTCCCTCTGTCCCCTGTTCCCCAGGGAAACCTTGCCCCCCAGGTTCGCCGGTGGGGTGAGCCCTTGTTGACCCCGACCCCCACCTTCCTGGCCACAGAAATTGAGACATCCCGAGTGTGACTACCTAAGGGTGCGGGGTTTTCTCCTTCGTTTGGCCCTCTGGTCCCCTTGGATGTTGAGCCCACGGGACGTCGGGCTCCAGGCGGGGGGGGGGTACTTTAAAGCGCGACTGCTGGGAAGTGATCAATTGTCAGGGTGGAGGGTGAGCCAGGGCGGCTGCAGGTGGGAGAGGCATCCTGGCGGGCTTTTAGAGCCCAGGGAGGGGTCAGTGTGGTCCCAGCTGACACTTGGGTCATCCGGATGCCGGGAAGGCCGGGGACCTTGCGAGGGACGTCTGGTTTGAGCTGTCATCAGTTGGCCATGTGACCTCTGCTGTTCCTGCCTCCTGAAGCCAGAGGCGAGGCTTCTGGCCGGTTTATGCTTTTGCATTTGAATGCTGTTGGCCTAGGGCCTCACCCTTTTACCTTGACTCAGCCTTGGGTGGTGGAGGTGTTGGGTGGAACTTAGGACCTTTGCAGTTCCGCTGTTCTGGGCTTTGTAGGCTTTTGGGGGTTGATCCAGGGAGGGTCACTTGGGAAGATAATACAACCTTTAATGGCTTTTGGGCATCCTTGGTTGTGCACACACCTGTTAGTTAAACCCAGGCAGTGGGTGTGGCCACCTGACCTTGAGATATTTAAGTTCTAGACCATTTCTTTTGCCAACATGGCAGCCGAGGTCTTTCTTCTTCCAGGGCGTTTCTGTTGTGATTGCTTTCTTTGGATTTTTAAGCAAATAGGCCATTTCCCAACTTTTCATATTGACAGTTTTTTCACGTGGTTTCATGACGGTTGTGTTTTGTGACTGGCACATTAAGTGTACTTGAAGCATCAGTTCTGTTTACAGCATACAGGAAAGTCCCTGTGTATGCTGTACAGAGCCGTGCTGCGGTTCCACACCACACACACGCGGCTTTACCGCGGTGTGACCTCGCTGGCTCACCTTTGCACAAGTGAGTTCTGTGTCTCAGTGGCAAGCTTATGGCGCTCACTGCCCCCGTGTGTGTCTGCGTATCTGTCCACCTGCCCACCTGTTCCTTCACACAATTGTCCCTTCATCCAGCTGACCACCTGCTTGGATATCTATCCATCTGCCCGTGACTTTGATGTCGGGTGATGCTGGACAAATCATCGTTGAATAAAATCCAGTTTGGGGCCCTGAAGGAGCCCAGGTGATGAGCTGACTGTTGCCTTCCGGGGAGTCTCCAGGAAGGCAAACCTGGGGAGCCGCTGGGGACCCGTATCTGTTGCTGCTGGTAGTTTAAGTGATTTTCCCATTTTGGTTAAGGAAGTTAAAGGTAATAGTTTGTGACTAGACCATGCTTTATGCTTGTAAATGGAAGCTTTTTTTTTCCCCCAATATTTATTTGATAAAGAGTGAGACAGAGTGATTGTCCATCCATCTAATTCGCTCCCTGGATGGTGTGACAGCCAGAGCTGGAGTTGGGTCTTTCATGTGCGTGCTTCGATAGTTTATAAGCGGGGAAGGACTCAAACTGGTACCCACTGGGGATGCTGGCTCTGCGGGCAAAGGCTTAAGCTGCTGTGCCATGGCACTGGCCCTTCTGTGACTTAATCTAGTTTAGCGTTGAATCACATGTAATCTTTTGGGGAAAAGTTAGCTTACAGTAGATGGCATTTGGCTTAGTTAAGATGCAAGATTGGAAAAAAAAAAAAGATGCAAGGTTGGGTACCTATATAACTAGTACTTTCTTTTTTAAAAGGTGTTTATTTTTATTGGGATGACAGTTACAGAGAGGAGAGACAGAAGTCTTGCATCTGTTGGTTTACTATCCAGGTGGCTGTAGTGGCAGGACTGGTTGAGTCCGAGGCCAGCAGTCTGAGGCTTCTTCCAGGTCTCCCGAATGGGTACGGGATCCCCAGGATTTGGGCTGTCTGCTGCCTTCCCCACCATTAGTGGGGAGCTAGGTCACAAATGAAGCCATTGGACTTGAATTGGTGCTGATACGGGGTGCTGGTCCCAAAGATGGAGGCTTAGCGTACCATGTCTTGCAGTCTTAGGCCTAGAACATTTTTAAAGATGGTATTTTTCTTTAAAGCTCCTGAACTTTTTAAAATTCAGCCATCTCAAGGCCTTCCCTGACCCTGTTCTAGGCTTTAGCTGGGAAACTTCCACACAGAAGTGGGTTGGTTCCCAAGGCTGGGTAACCTCATTCATTCCTCAGCCACCTGTTAACACTGCCCGGCGGCCCTTCTCGTGCAGGGACCACGTCTTTTGCCTGCTTGTTGCGCTTGCTCCTGGTGGGAGCAATTTCAGAAGGTCTGTGTTGCTGGTAATAACCTAGCAGGAACGGGGTTTGCTTGGTGTTGGAAAGGGAGTGGAAACTTTAGGATGGGGAACATGGGGTGAGGGTGTCAGTCCGTGTGCTCCAGCTACCAGAGTTTGAGTGGCTTAACCAGCAGAAGTTGATTTCTTCCTGTCCTGGAGCCTGGGAAGGCCAAGACCGAAGTGAGGGTGCTGTCAGTGTGTCCTGGGCTTGTAGATTGCTGCCGCGTTACTGTCTTCCTGTCTTGCTTGGTGTTTTTACTTGTCTCTTGTAAAATCACTAATCCTGCTGGATTCTGCCTCCACCCCCGTTTAACAGTAATTACCTCCTGAAGACCTGATTTCCAAATACAGTTCTGATGCAGGGCGAGAGCTTCAACATGTGCGTCTTTTGGGTGGGGGAGGTACGACGTGGCGTATAGTAATGGGCTTGCATCATCTTCCCTGAAGATGTAAAGGAAGAGCTGGGAGAAGAGTGTTGTGAGCGGAAGGGGCGGCAGGTGTGAGCCGGACGAGGGCAGAGTTGGTTTTTGAGATCCCTGGAGGTCATGAGGACCGTTACTGAGGCTGCTTGATGTTACTGTAATGGTGGGAGCCTATGGATGCTTTTGAGGAAAAGGATATGGACTGATTTAATTTTTTGTTTTGTTTTTTAAAGAGTATTATTTTTTTGTAGTGATGTATTTTTTTTTTTAAAGATTTTTATTTTTATTATTTTTTTATTGGAAAGGCGGATATACAGAGAGGAGAGACAGAGAGGAAGATCTTCCGTCCGATGATTCACTCCCCAAGTGAGCGCAACGGGCCGATACTATGCCGATCCGAAGCCAGGAGCCTCTTCTGGGTCTCCCACGTGGGCGCAGGGTCCCAAAGCTTTGGGCTGTCCTCAACTGCTTTCCCAGGCCACAGGCAGGGAGCTGGAAGGGAAGCAGGGCTGCCGGGATTAGAACCGGCGCCCATATGGGATCCCGGGCGTGCAAGGTGAGGACCTTTAACCACTTGCGCCACCGCGCCGGGCCCGTGATGTATTTTTTTTAAGATTATTTTTACTGCAAAGTCAGATATACAGAGAGGAGGAGAGGAGGATCTTCCGTCCGATGATTCACTTCCCAAATCACCGTAATGGCTGGTGCTGCACCGATCCGAAGCCAGGAGCCAGGAGTTTCCTCCAGGTCTCCCACGTGGGTGCAGGCTTCCAAGCCTTTTGAGCTGTCCTTGATTGCTTTCTTAGGCCACAGGCAGGGAGCTGGATGGGAAACGGGGCTGCTGGGATTAAAACTGGTACCCATATGGGATGCTGGTGTGTTCAAGACAATGACTTTAGCCGCTAGGCCACTGCACTGGGCCCTGAAAGATTATTTTTATTTAAAAACCAAGAGAGGAGAGACAGAGATATTTTGTCTACTGATTCACTATTTAAATGGATGCATAAATGGATGCAGTGGCTGGAGCTGAGCCTTTCTGAAGCCAGCAGCTTTCTCTGGGTCTTCTGTGTGGGTGTAGGGACCAAAGATGTGAGCCATCCTCCACTCACTGCCTTCCCAGGCGGTAAGCGGGAAGCTGGATCGCAAATGGAACAGTTGGGACATGAACTGGTACTCATGTGGGATGCCGGCTTGGCAGATGGAGATTAAGTTACTATGCCATGGAACCGACCCCGTTTTTGGGTTTTTTTTTAAGATTTAATTTCTTAGTTGGAAAGCAGAGTGACACACAGAAAGTTAGAAAGAGAGATCTTATCTACCATTTCATTCCTCCAATGACTGCAGTGGTCAAGTCTGGATTAGGCCGAAGCCAAGAGTCCGAAACTACATCTCATGTGAGCAGGGGCGAGAGTCCTTGGGCTACCAGAGTGCTTTAGCAGGGAACTGGTTTTCCTCTCCAGTGAGGGATTCTGGTAATACAGATGGTGGTGTGGCCCACTGACCTGCCATGCTGGCCCCTGATTGAGCCTTTGACTGGGATACAGTGGCCTCACTGGATGAGATTGAAAGCAGGGTTGGGCAGCTGAAACATCAGCCAAGGGCCTGGAGTGGAAGGGCAGACCAAGGTGATGGAGACAGAAGTGATTGGGTTCCCAGGCCGGA